AAAGTCATAGTACATGTTATGGATCAATAAAATTAGTAAAAGTATTGCAAAAACATAGAGTAGAAGGATGCATACCAAATTCTTTATTGTGGTAGCTTCTGGGCAGGGAGGAATGGGATTGAAAATACAATAGAGGTGTTGGGAACCAGCAGTTAGCGTAATGGCTATGTCGCTGGACTCCCACGTAGTCGACCGTGGTTCACGTCCCGGACCTGGTGGCTTAAAACTCACTCCGGGCGCGTGTGTGTGCGTGCCCAAGATCCAGAGAGGAGAATGGAGGAGAAGGGATTGCGGCGTGACCATCCCCCCTGGGGGGTGATTTCTCGCTTTCTGTCTCTATGTCTCTGTCTATCTGGCGAGCGCACATGCCCTATAGCGAAAACCTCTCCAAAAAAAAGAAAAGAAAATACAATAGAGATGTCAAATTTACCTGTAATGTTTCTTTTTATATTTCTAAAAGAGCTGGGGAAAGTATGACATAATGTGTGTGTGTGTGTGCACATGCGCACGAGAGAGAGAGGTTGATTCTCCAATTTAGAAGACAGCTAACATAGAAATAAATAGTCCTTAAGGTCAGCCTCCAAGGTTGGGTGGCATTTGTCCTCCAGAGTGCTGGGAAACAGCATAGTCTAGTGTAAGGTGCCCGTACCAGGGAGCCAGACCATCTGGGCCCTGGTTCCCTATTCTGATCATTGCCTACTCTCCTATGTGGATTATTTTATTTCCACACCCTTCAATTTCTTCATTTCTACAACACTATAGAAATTACTTTGCATTATCAAAATTCCTCCTTTATTTAGTTATTGTGATGTTTTAGAGCAGGAAATGAGGTAGAGTGGCCAGTCTTGCTTGGCCCTGTCTGTGGGAGAGCTGAGCCTGTGTTGAGCCAGAAGCTTTAGAATCAGTTGGTGGGAAGTGGATGTGCTGTGCCCAGAAGAAGGGTGTTACTGGGCAGACCAAACCCCAGACATCTGCTTTGTATTCTGCAGACTGGGGAGTCTCAAAAGATTATTTCATCAAAGCTATTTGGAGTTCTAAAACAATTCCGTTGACTGGCAGCTAGACCATAGGCAGTGATTATATTTACTGAAGATGTGATTTCTCCCAAAGATATTTGAAGCTCTAGCCTACACCAATCCCGAACAATTCCCATTGGTACTCTTAAATTTACCTTTCTCTTTCATACCTACCATCCTGAGCTCGATCCAAAAATGTTAGTTACTCTCATCTATCAATGTAGTTTCAGCCTTTTATAAAGTAACAGGGTAGTCTTTTTAGATTAAAAAAGAAACCCCTCGTTCCAAAGTCATAGTACATGTTATGGATCAATAAAATTAGTAAAAGTATTGCAAAAACATAGAGTAGAAGGATGCATACCAAATTCTTTATTGTGGTAGCTTCTGGGCAGGGAGGAATGGGATTGAAAATACAATAGAGGTGTTGGGAACCAGCAGTTAGCGTAATGGCTATGTCGCTGGACTCCCACGTAGTCGACCGTGGTTCACGTCCCGGACCTGGTGGCTTAAAACTCACTCCGGGCGCGTGTGTGTGCGTGCCCAAGATCCAGAGAGGAGAATGGAGGAGAAGGGATTGCGGCGTGACCATCCCCCCTGGGGGGTGATTTCTCGCTTTCTGTCTCTATGTCTCTGTCTATCTGGCGAGCGCACATGCCCTATAGCGAAAACCTCTCCAAAAAAAAGAAAAGAAAATACAATAGAGATGTCAAATTTACCTGTAATGTTTCTTTTTATATTTCTAAAAGAGCTGGGGAAAGTATGACATAATGTGTGTGTGTGTGTGCACATGCGCACGAGAGAGAGAGGTTGATTCTCCAATTTAGAAGACAGCTAACATAGAAATAAATAGTCCTTAAGGTCAGCCCTCAAGGTTGGGTGGCATTTGTCCTCCAGAGTGCTGGGAAACAGCATAGTCTAGTGTAAGGTGCCCGTACCAGGGAGCCAGACCATCTGGGCCCTGGTTCCCTATTCTGATCATTGCCTACTCTCCTATGTGGATTATTTTATTTCCACACCCTTCAATTTCTTCATTTCTACAACACTATAGAAATTACTTTGCATTATCAAAATTCCTCCTTTATTTAGTTATTGTGATGTTTTACAAGAAGTTCATCTGTGTAAAATGCTTAGAAAACATCTTGCACATTAGGAAGTACTGAAGCACATATCTGTTATTTATGTTATTATTAGTGGGGACGGGAATTACGTCATTACAATGGATTTTTTTCTCATTGTTTAAAAACAGTTATTGAGAGCTTGCTATATATCTGGCAATATTCTAAGCCCCACTACCTTACCTCATTTCAACCTTATAATATGGATATTTTCATAGGTAAGGAAGCCAACTAAATTAATTTGAATAAATATCAAATAAATTTGGTATTAAATACCAAATGATTGAGCTGGATTTGGACTGAGATCTGGAACTCAAAAGCTTCTCTCTCTCGGGAACCAGCAGTTAGCGTAATGGCTATGTTGCTGGACTCCCATGTAGTCAACCGCGGTTCGTGTCCCAGACCTGGTTGCTTAAAACTCACGCCGGGCACGTGCGCGTACGTGCCCAAGATCCTGAGAGGAGAATGGAGGAGAAGGGATTGCGGTGTGACCATCCCCCCTGGGGATGTGATTTCTCACTTTCTCTCTCTATGTCTCTCTCTGTCTGTCTGGCAAGCGCATGCGCCCTATAGCGAAAAACCTCTCCAAAAAAAAAAAAAAAAAAAGTTTTCTCTGTACCAGGGAGCCAGACCATCTGGGCCCTGGTTCCCTATTCTGATCATTGCCTACTCTCCTATGTGGATTATTTTATTTCCACACCCTTCAATTTCTTCATTTCTACAACACTATAGAAATTACTTTGCATTATCAAAATTCCTCCTTTATTTAGTTATTGTGATGTTTTACAAGAAGTTCATCTGTGTAAAATGCTTAGAAAACATCTTGCACATTAGGAAGTACTGAAGCACATATCTGTTATTTATGTTATTATTAGTGGGGACGGGAATTACGTCATTACAATGGATTTTTTTCTCATTGTTTAAAAACAGTTATTGAGAGCTTGCTATATATCTGGCAATATTCTAAGCCCCACTACCTTACCTCATTTCAACCTTATAATATGGATATTTTCATAGGTAAGGAAGCCAACTAAATTAATTTGAATAAATATCAAATAAATTTGGTATTAAATACCAAATGATTGAGCTGGATTTGGACTGAGATCTGGAACTCAAAAGCTTCTCTCTCTCGGGAACCAGCAGTTAGCGTAATGGCTATGTTGCTGGACTCCCATGTAGTCAACCGCGGTTCGTGTCCCAGACCTGGTTGCTTAAAACTCACGCCGGGCACGTGCGCGTACGTGCCCAAGATCCTGAGAGGAGAATGGAGGAGAAGGGATTGCGGTGTGACCATCCCCCCTGGGGATGTGATTTCTCACTTTCTCTCTCTATGTCTCTCTCTGTCTGTCTGGCAAGCGCATGCGCCCTATAGCGAAAAACCTCTCCAAAAAAAAAAAAAAAAAGCTTGTCTCTCTCTTTTTTTTAAAAAAAGAATTACTTTATTTAACTTTATTAATTTATTTTAATTTGACCAGAGAGGAACAGAGTGAGAGAGAGCAAAAGAGAGAGAGAGGGAAAATGAGAAAGCAAGTCGCCAGGTCCAGGACTCAAACTGTGGTTGGCCATGTGGGAGTCCAGCACCCTTAACTACCACGCCAAAAGCCTCTGCTCCTAACCTCTACATTGTATTATTGCCAACAGATTGATTCTTACCTTTCTTAAATAGCTTCCAAAATAGCCAGTGAAACAATTTATCTGAAAATTTAGCTAAATAATGTATAATTTTAAATTAGGTATATAGGAAAATATATTTAGGTAATTAAAGGACAAATGAAAATTTAGCATTTTAGATACTGTATTTGTTAGAGATAATGGTGGATGCTTTACTAGACCTATATTAAATTCTTGTACAGCCCTGCGTGGTAGGCTTTATGTTTCTTACTTAGAAATGAAGAATTGGTCTCATATATATCACAGACCCACTTGCAATCACCCCAGCAACACATGCTTTGTGTCATGCTGAGCTAGCTTTCCTCCACCCTCACTTGTGGATTATATTTTGTTTTTTGATGTATTAGATATATAAATAAATATGTAATTTTATATAAATATAAATATTATATACATAATATTTTAGATATACATATGTAATATGTATTCTATATTTTAGTCATCCTATCACTATTACATATATATAAATATAAAATTCTGGATTTTAGTCATCCTATCATTATTATATATATATTATTCTGAATTTTAGTCATCCTACCATTTTTCACTTCCTTATAGTTTAGAACACTTGAAGGCAAATAGCATATGAAACATTTGATTAGGGATGACTGTGTGCAGTTAAGCAATGTGAATCATTTTTGTAATACTGTAAAGTATAATTTTTGTATTTTTTAGCTTGTTTTATCCATGGAAAAAAGTGTATCTGTAGTTGGCCCATTAACATGTCGCATTCATTAAACTGAAAGTAAGAAATTTTCCATTTTGGCTGAGTATACTTTGCCTATATTTAACAGTAAGACTATTAACTTTTTTTTCATAATTTTCTGATATATTTTATTTTCTAGACATGAGGATTTTCAGGGACTTTTTCTACCCTGAGGAAAACACACTGGGTGTGTGCTAATCACTGTTATGCTCATCTCTGTGAGATTAAAATTTTCCTCTTCGGGTAGATCTAAAAGCATTATCATGGTACATTAAATCTATAGTCCTTCACTCTGAGTAGTATTTTGGTGTAAAAAATAAATGATATATCTCTATATATCGATATATCTATATCTATCTATATCTATCTATCTGTCTATCTATATATATATATATCAATATCCTGAAGGTGAAAGCAGTGTATTTTTGCCTGATGTATCATGAGCACTTTGTGGTATGATGGAGAGTGATCTAGCCTTCCTTTTTTTACTAGGTGATCAAACTCTCAGAATTTGGGATGTGAAGACAACAGGAGTCCGAGTTGTGATTCCAGCACACCAGGCAGAAATTTTAAGTTGCGATTGGTGTAAATACAATGAGGTATACAACGTAGGGCTCTGTCCTATACTGCTGCCCTTGCTAACATTAAAATGTTCTAGAATTTGGGCCAGCCCTGTGGCCTGGTGGTTGGGAGAGGTAGACCTCACTATGGCTGGCTACGTGGTTTATCCTAGATCTGGCGGTGTGAAAAAGCCGCCAACATGTGTATGTGCATTATCCCAATGGGATGGAGAAGGGACTGTGGTATGACCATGCCCCATGAGAAGGGCTTTCTCCCTCTTGCTGCCCCCTCTGTCTCTCTGTCTCTTTCTGGCAAGTGAATGTACCCTCTGAGAAACTGAAAAAAAAAATGCTATATAAATATTTTAGATTTTATTAATCTTTGTTTATATAGACTTTGGTGGTATTTCTAGACCACTAAGTTAAATTCATTCTCTTTTATTTCTAATTACTGATCATGACTGATCTGTATTAGCATTAATTAGATTTAAGCGCTCATAGGACAGGCAAATAAGAGACAAAGTTCAGCAG